ATTCATTGGATTGAAAAATCAAAGATTCTTCATTGAATATCAAATTTGAATTTTTTAATTTCGCATATTATTAATCAAGTAATGGTCCATCAGGTTATGCCAAATAATTGAATTTCTAGTTCAATACAATGTTTCAAATTTAAATAATTATTTAATCAAATAAAAAACATAGTTAATTCTCAAAAGTATGATTAACTATGATATATAATATAAAAATTAAAGTTCACATGACATAAATTGTGTGCTTTCTTTCAGGGATAAACATATAATTTGTGTTTTTAGGAACACAATAAAGTATAATTTTTCGAGATGTGTGTAATTTTGAAATTACGTTATATTTTATTATTGCTTTTTCAATATCAATATTCTTCTAGAATATTGAAAATTATAATTCAAACTCTTTAGGAGCAACCAAATATTATTATAATAAATTATACAAAAATTTACTCTTCAAGAGTAAAAATATAATTTATGTTGGATTGTATGTAATTATGCTCTTTGGGAGCAAATAAAATTTAACTAAAATATTAATGAAAATTATATTATGCTATTTCAAAAAAACATTACATTTTAATATTGCTTCTTCAAGAATATTAAATCAATACTTTTCTGAAACATGGAGAATTTTAATTTCATGCTCTTCAGGAGCAATAACATATTATTATTTACAGCAATAACTTATGTAATGATTTACTCTTCATGAGTAAAAACATAATTTTATGTTAGATTTTATATCATTATACTTTTCGAGAGCAATAAAATCTAAACAGAACATCAATATAAAATACGTGTGTAGAAGAATGGACACATAAATAAATAGAATAATTTAATTCGTGATTTTACATAGAACCAATCAATATACTTAAGGAATATTGAAATTATAATATAGTGTTCTTTTGGAGCAATTAATATTCTTTTTTAAAATATTAATAATGTTTTTTTTTAGGAACATCAATACAAATTTTTCATATAAGTTGTGCTGTATAAAGGGATATATAATTTTCAAGAATATAAATACAATATTCTTTTGGAATATTGATACTAACGACTCGTTCTACCTTTCGAGTTAAACAATATAATATTAAAATTTGCGTTTTACATGAGTAACAATAAAATATTCTTCTGAAATATTTATATAACGTGAGTTGTATTTCTTCGATAACATCAACACCTATTTGTAAAAATTAAATATAATTTAAATTATGTTTCAACGGGAGCATTTGGCCAATATTATTCTAGAATATTGAAATTGTAATGTCACGCTCTTCATAAGTAAGTAATAATCTTCTAGAATATTAATAATATTGTGCTACTTCAAAAACAACAACGAACTATTTATATTATATAGATATACAATTAATATACTTCTGCAATATTAATTATAATGTTGTACTATTTTTAGAGCAACAACGTGTTAAATTATTAATTTAAAGTTTATAGAAGAATATCTAAGAATATTTAATCACCATATAGATATAATATGAATTTATATATATAAAAAATTAATTACCAAACATGCATTAGGAAAAAGAATTTTTATACATAGAAGTTAACAAAATTGGCTAAATTTTTTACCACATACAAAAGATACAAACGTACATATGAATTTCACATATACAAAAATCAAAAGTAGAACTAGTATGTGGCAAATTCAAAAGACAGAATTAATGATATGTGACAAAATTGATTGTGTATGAATCAAAAGACATGAATTAATATGTGTACAAATTACACATACAAACATGGATTAAAATTAATATGCATGCAAATGAAAATCGGAAGAGAATAAACAACTTGATTATGATGTATATGTATATCGAAAGAATTCACATGCCACTAAATTAATTTTGGTATACGTTATAAATATCTATACTTATAAATATAGAGAAGTTAATAGATTTGTATGTATTTTATTAAGTACCAAAACCCTATATTTATATGACAGAATTAGGGATACAATGATAATAATCTCTAGGGCTGCATGGGTACAATTGTCATTCACTTGTAAATCTTAATAAACTTACCGTTTACAATATTTTATTTTTTGGAATATTCGCACTCAGAAGGGAAAAAAGCAATGAATTTTAATTTTCCATTGGAAGGAAAGAGAGATTATTATTGACAACATCAACTTGTAATGAATGGTTCTTCTTTCTTTATTTTTATGGTCCAATTTAAGAATGCATGGCAATCACATTTATGTCCATGCCGACGTGCCGTCCCCATTTCCCGTCCTTCCCACACTTCCCAATAGCAACGAGAGTAGGAATTCGATCAATCGCTATCAATGCCAGGAGGCAGATCAAGATTCAGTATCCACCCAAGCATCTCTGTGATATACTGGTATCATCTTTTCCCCCATCTTAACCCCAGCAGTCTAGCCCAGTTTCTTCCCCTCCAGTCGCTTCCTTAGATTCTAGATCCCTCTCACTTCCCGTTTGTTCTCGGGCTTTGACGTAAGGCCTGTAGACCGAGCCTCACATCCCTGACTTCTGCAGCTTTTCGCCCTCCACTCCTTGCTTAACTTTATACTATGCCCAACAAGTGCTTGCCCTAGTTCACGAAACTTAACTTTGATTTGGGCCGTTCATAGTTTTAGCTCATGCGGACCCTCCTTATGAGCAAAGGGATCCCTGCTAGAGGAAAGGTACTCCACGCAAAAATCTTTTTAAGGATTCTCAGTTGACAAACAGTAAACCCTTTGTTTCATTGTGCTAGATCGACCCCTTCCTACACTCACCTAGGGGTGTCAAAAAGGCTCGACGGCAAAAAGGCATAAAAGGCAGAATTGCCGCCTTTAAAAAGGCATAATTGAAGACAGAAAATTCTACCTTTTGAGACCGCCCAAAAAAGAAAAAGGAGCAGGCCAGGCTCGGCTCGGCTTGGAAAAGCTCGAGCTGAAGCCGAAATTTTTTGGCAGAGCAAAAGCTCGGCTTGGCTCGGACTCGTAAAACAGCTCGCCATTTTAACCGAGCTGAAAGTTTTAGGCTCGGACTCGGCTCGACTCGTTGACATCCATATTTCAAGGATCAAAGAAAAAATAGAGCTGATTTTAACTGAATTAGATTTATCCTGATGATTAAAAATAATGAAAGAAGTTTTTCATAAAGGATTTTTAGACATTTTACATCAAAATAAGATTCAACTTGGTCAAAAAAAAAGAGACCATAGTGAATTTCTCCGAAATGACATCACATACAAGGGACAATGTCTTTTGACTCCGCCGAGAAACTTCAACAATGACCGAAATGTTAGATTCCCACGTGCGTCATCTCACACGTAATACACCAATAATATAACACATATACAAATCTATGATTCTGGTCAACTTTATCCGCGGTCACTAAACTTTTAAAATAATTTCAATTAGGGCAATTACTAAACTTTATTTTGTTCAATTTTGGTATCAAATTTCTCTACTATCACATGCTACTTCGAAATTGATAAAATCTACTTAATTATAGGTCATATCAAGATGAATCTTCCAATAAGTATAGTGTGCTATGCTAAATTATCGCTACACTATGAACATAAAAGTATTAAAGGCAAGTAGCTATGTAGAGATTATATGGAAGATCAATTTTGGTATGATTGTCAACGAAGCAATTTTTAGCATCTTGAAGCTGACGGGAAGTGACGGAATATGACAAAGTGGTGAAACAAAAATTTAACATTGAAATTTAGTGACTCAATTGAGATAAATTAGTATTTAACGACCTGATTTAGACTTCACTGAAAATTCAGTGACCATGGACGAAATTTACCCTAAGAATTTTTAATTTCTACAAATTCAAGAAAATAAACTTGATGGGCAAGTCAAATTCCAACTATAAATTCAGACATCTTGCCTCCCAAACTCTCTCAAACACCCAAAAGGCGGTTTACACCATTTCATAAAATCTTGTCCTTTCAGATCCCATATAATTTCTTGGCCTTCCCGGAACGAAATGTGTCCATCGGGAACCGCCTCGGGCCGTCGTGAAACAACCGGAAAACCCAATTTACGATCAGCATTCGATGTTCTTGACGCTGATAGCGACGGAAAGATTAGCCACGACGATCTCCGGGCCTTTTACGGAGGGTTTTCGGGCCCTGGGGATTCCAATGAGGATGATATAAAGTCTATCTCCCAAACTCTCTCAAACACCCAAAAGGCGGTTTACACCATTTCATAAAATCTTGTCCTTTCAGATCCCATATAATTTCTTGGTCTTCCCGGAACGAAATGTGTCCATCGGGAACCGCCTCGGGCGGTCGTGAAACAACCGGAAAGCCCAATTTGCGATCAGCATTCGATGTTCTTGACGCTGATAGCGACGGAAAGATTAGCCACGACGATCTCCGGGCCTTTTACGGAGGGTTTTCGGGCCCTGGGGGATATCCATGGCGGATTTTAACAAGGATGGATATGTGGAATATGAAGAATTTGAGAAGGTGTTGAATGGGAAAAACGGTAGAAATGGGAGATGGGTTGTAATGGAAGATGCTTTTCGGGTTATGGACAAAGATGGAGATGGGAAAGTGGGCCGTGAGGATTTGAAAAGTTACCTTAAATGGGCCGGGTTTGAGGCCCATGATGAAGATGTTGAAGCCATGATCAGGTTGGCCGGTGGAGATGAAAATGATGGGGTTACATTTCAGGGTCTGCTCAAGGTTTTGGCTTTTTGATTTTTCTCAACTGGGGCACAATCAAGGCAGAACTTTTACTTGTTCAAATAAGCAATAAGGCGAAACAGGATCGTCTGCAAGTGCAAGACAACCCTAGGCAAACATTTTTGTCTATTTATTGTTTTTTATTTATAATTGTTGAACAATTTTCTTAATTGTTGAGATGATTCTGTTCTGACCATTTTTGTTACATTTAGTCTTTTATTCCGCATTATAAAATGAACCCCAACTATTATTCATCCAATTCCATTTCATTATGAGCATGTTTGGAGGGTAGGTTGATGCCTTTATGGGTACCTATACTCAATATTCATTACAACTTTTTTTCAAATAAAAAGTATCTTACTGTTAAGAAACTTGTTCACAAGGCAAAAGAAACAGCACGTCATGTAGAGTTCATTCAAACATAATATCTAAAGATTTACTTGGTCAATACAAGAAACTTTTGATGCTGGTTAGAGGAAACACCGCCACTACATATAGATTAGCGTGTTTTTCCAATAAAAAAAGTTCCTAAGCTTGTAAAGTAAATGGTTAAACAAGATCGATTTGGCCGCTCTCCACTAGTGGCTTTATTGACTTGTAAGGTAAAGCATACAAATCATCAGCTTCAATGTTGACAGGCTCTTCCCCACTGTCACATTTCCAGTAATTTCACATGTCAAGAAATGCTTTACACAAACAAGTCCAAAACTCGGAAAAGAGCACAAAGAAGAATTAATAAATTACCTGTCATCCAGCTGAAACGCTCCTAAAAATTTCTTGCTTCTGCAAATAATGTAGGTGTCCAGCTTTGGCTCTGGAACTAAATCACGTATCGAAAATAAATATAGTATTCAGTGTAGCAATATAGTACACCGATCTCTTTCAGATAGAAATCAATAGAATGTTGAGAACAATGAACCATAAAAAGGATTCCGAGTCCAGTTTGCAGTTCATCTAGATATCGTTCAACTCACTGTTGGGTTAAGTGTTGAAACCGTCACATCTAGAACTCCTATTTACATGTACTACATGCATGTACATAAAACTTAGATTCCTTACATTTCAACAAGGTAGTTAAAAATTTCAAGTTCAAAATAAAGTTAATCTCTAATTTATGCAATAGTTGTATTTTCAAGTTCCTAGAATGGCCTCTAAATTCACTTAGACTAAGAGTCCGTTTGATTGTAAAGATGAAATTTGGATGGAAAGAAAAAGAATTTCAAGAAATTGAATTGCCTAGAAATTGTTTTTACTGAGAATTGTCAATTATTGTATTTGATTAGTATAAATTTTCACATGGAAAATGTTAAAATAAAAGTATTTTTTGGTGTTTGTTTGACTTTGTTTTATATGAAAATTGTCAGGATAAAATTTACTGGTACTGGTACTGGGAATGAAAATTGTTTCCATTGCTCCAAAAAAATAAAAAAATAAAAATAATAATAATAATAATAATAATAATAATAATAATAATAATAATAATCATCCATTTTTTCGTTTTGGTTTTGTTTTGTTTTACATGGAAATTGTTAATTAAAGGAAATTTTTTTTTTACAATTGAGAATAAAATTTGTTTCCATTGCCAAAAATGAAAAAATAAAATAAAATAAAATTCGGTCAGCAGCCTAGAAAATGAATTTTCACCAATCTGGTGAGAATTCATTTTCCTCAATTTGGTGAAAAATGGCTTAGGTGGCATTAAAGTTGGAAAATGAATTCTCTAGAAAAAAAAACCTATCAAAAATCCATTTCTGGTTTAGGGTGGAAATCAAATTCCAGTTTCCATGGAATTCATGCCTATCAAATATGGCCAAATTATATTCAGCAATATTAACAAAATATTCAACTGGAAGCAAACTTGAACTCCAGTACATGCAGGATTAGCATAATGTTTATAATGACCTCCTAAAGCCACAACTTTTATGTTTATGAATCCGAGTTTAGTACAAAAAGAACAAAGGTAAGTTATTTACAACCAAGTTGGTGTTAGAATATTTGAGCCTCAGCGGTCGACATTTGAAAAATGCTAATGTGGAATTGGTAACACGTAGCAAGGTAACATTGCATAGAAGAACATTGCAGAAAAGTACAAGGGACAGATTGAACTAGTGCCAAGATAATAAACTCACCCATGTCATCATCTTCACTAGCCCCAGATTGCTTCAAATGGGACTGGTACTGATCAGGCAATTTTGTGAGCACAGATTGTTCCAGATGTTGTGTTAGGTCCCCAACACTCCTGTATTTCTTGTTAACTATAAAACATGTAATTTTTATTTACAAGCAATAAAAGAGAATGAGAATATCCATCACCTTACAGCAAATTTTTGTTCTTGTTTAGAAAGGCGGTTCCATAATTCAGTCGTTTTTTGGATGTGAAGAACGTACTTTTCAATCTGTCCAAGAGATGATCAGAAGTGAACAAAGCGGTTACCAGAAGAATCCTAACATCTCATTGAATGCAAAAAGTAGATCAAGTCATTGACAGTGGCAATACTCACAACTGGACACACCCAACATGGCATAATAAAAGTTCTAACCAATGCTACCTTTTGAAGACGAGTGCGGAGATATGATCTCAATAGGAACAGGGTCCGGTCCAAGTCCATCTGGTAAAGGGACACTGTGAGTGGATCAACAGCATTTCTTGTGAACTCTTCCACCGTTTCTTCCTAAAGTAGGTATATGAAAAATAAGAAGTGAGACGTCTATCATCTTGTTAAGTTTCTATTGCCGGTAACATCCGATGCAAAGAAAAGAGTAAATCTAGTCACTGGCTATCCAAAAGCTATGGAACTTGGTGTGAGTCTTTGAAATGATTTTATTTATTTATTTATTTATTATTTATCGTGAATGATGGAATTATTACAAATAGTCTGCCCTCGCATATTTTAAGTTTCTTCCTCTTGACTAAATTTGTAACCTAAATTAGCAGCTTCATTTTCTGTGGTCTTTCAATATTGCTAGAAATAAATTCAAAAATGAAACGAGTAAAAAGATTAGAGCATGAATAATAAAGGGGAGGAAAATATCTGTCTCTTTCATATATTAATTTGCAGTTTCCACTCAACAATAGGTAAATCTAAAGGACATACACGAGCACATACTTCATGAGCAAACGATATATTAGGATGGATGATAGACTTAGAATACAAAAGCTTTATCTACAGTAATTGTTTACAGTTTATTACTTTTCAAGACGATGGCCAACTTATCTAAATTAGTTCAATTCCTCCAAAACTCTAAATCACCCCAGTACAAAAAAATTAAAAAGAAAAAGTTTGTGAAGCTAGCAGAGGAAGACAGGGGTAGATTGATATTTACAGTGCCAGGAGCCAGAAGCAGGCATGTGTGGAATTAGATGCATGTAGCAGTGACTTATAATAGAAATTTGAATTATCCAAGAATGGTGTAGAAACACATATATAAATTTTTTCAAGGCACAAATTTGTTTAACATTTTTATTTTTAGGATCGCATAATAATCCCGATCATGTACACATTCTTTATGTTTGTTTTCTGTTGAAGAAAATTTGTTGATTCTTCTCTTCCACAAGTAATTGAAGTGGATGAAGTGCATGCTTGAAAGCTACAGTAATTCGATATTACTTCCAAAGTGATATAATCTGCATTGCAACTCATCGATTCGTCCAAAAGATTAATTTTCATCGTATTGTGTAATATGTCAATATACTATTCACACTAGCGAAAAATTCCATCCAGACTCAAGAGAACAGAATGCAGGTCATGGCGAGCTGCACAAATTCAACATTATATTCAAGTACCCTTTGCTAAAGGATATAAAATCTATCATGTCTTATACTATCCATCCATTTAATATAAACCAAGATATAAGCATAGTGTTAAAAAATCAGTTTAATTTTTGGTACAATCTGTTGAGAGTTTACTCTGCCAAAGTCCACCAATTGAATTCATTTCACAAGAACATTCATTTTCTTCAGGTTTCTAGAAAAATTGAACACCAAATAATTGAAATAAAACTTTAGCTATGTTTATTCGAAGCTAAATTGCAGGGGGAAAAAACTGTAAGATTATATGAACAAAAAGAAAAGCTGCAACTTTTACAATTTGCATAATTAAATGAGTTTTTCAACATATTACCTAAACAAATAAAGCACAAATTCCAGTAAAAATTAAACATCATAAAACTCAAGTAAAATGGTGGCTTTATTATTTAAAAAGTACTAAATTTTAGAGAAAACTACAGTAAGATTACATAAACAAGGAGAAAAGCTGCAGCTTTTAAAATTAGAACAATCAATAGATTTCCCCCCATAAATGCGTTTTCAATATATTGCCTCTACAAATTAAACACAAATTTGTGGAAAAATTGATCAAATAATTATAATAAAGCCACAGATGAATGCATTCAATCAAAAGCTACTAAATATAACACCACTGTCCCCAGGAGAAAAAGGTAGAATGGCAAAACGTGTGGGGAAGACAATTAAAGTTTCAGAAAGATCAATTAATTCAATTAAAATAAATAATGAAGTATTCCATCAATTGAATCTGGTGGTGGGATCTCTGAACTAAAGTCGCCTCGAATTCAATACTAAAAGCAGAAGGTTCAGCAGAAATTTTGAGAAAAAAATTTAAACATCATATAGTTAAATAAAACCATAGATGATTCCTCCTAGTTGTCTCTCGTGGCGTCAAAACATAAGTCAATAAACCCCACCCCCACCCAAACCAAGCACTCAAACAGAAATCTGGAAGCCCATTAAATAATTTTTTAATTAACGCATTATATAAAATAAATGCAGGACAACACCGCAGAAAGGCAAAGAACGATTAGCACCAACTCTATCGCTGTTGCTACTTCTGACTTAAAAAGGGTATAAAAGTAAAATGTGTGGGCATGACAATTAGGTTTTCAAAAGGATAATTAATTCAATTAAACAATTGTATAGCATACCATCAAATGGATCTGTTCTCGGGATCTCTGAACTAAAGCAGCTTCGAATTTGAGAATCTCCGGCGCTGCCTTTTCGTTACGCCATGAGCGCTTCAGCAGCTCAGCGTCGGTTGTCGAAATCAACAATTCGTAATCGTCAGTTGATGAGTCTTCTCCAGCTCCTGGCTCCATCCGATTATCTCCGTATCTCTTTTTCTGGAAATGGGAAATAGCAACTGTGCTATTTTAATTTTCTCCGAAAATCAACTTTTAAGTTAAATGAAAAGTAGAACTGAAAGATTAAGGAATTGGCGCCAAAATATTAATAATGTAGGGAAAAGTTGTAGCATTCGTCCCCGACATATGGCCCTTGTATCAATTTAGTCCCTAATCTGCTTTTTTGATAGGGAACTCGATCCTAATCTCTCAATTTCAAAGCATCCTTTCTCTCTTAAGGTCAAAAAAATAAATTAATAAATAAAGAATAATATTATCTAGGTTAAGTGGTGTTTAACACTAACTTAGGTGTAAGTATATCGTAAGTCCTATAAAATGAATCATAGTTCATTTTATTTGATTGAACTTGTCATTTAATGTAATTAGTGTTACCGTATAAACGGGTGTTAAACAAACGACTAATAAATTGAGCCACTCTCAAAGCTTTTAAAGTTTACTTGTAAGTAAATAAAACTTGAGTTTATTTTCATATAGTATAATTTTGCTAATGCAAAATAATTTTTTATAATAAATAAATTGTAGCTTTTATTTACTTTGTGTTACTGATTTATTTAATAATATTGAGTACATAAATTAAAAGTTCCGATAATAACTTGTGATAATATAAGTTGGGTGCTTGTACAGAGAAGTATAGTGTGATACAAATTCATATTTTAATAATAAATATTTGTTCAAAAGCAATGGTGCAATGAATAAGAGTTGGCGTATTGTATGAAAAATTTGTAGTATTGACTGATTCACCTTTCGAATTTGAAATTTGTTCTTGTAGAAATAGTTTAAAACGACGCTAAAATAGTTGGATTGTACTAAACAATCACATGTCGAATTTTATTTAATGTGCGGGAATTAAATTCCACTTGATCATGCAGTTATTCAATATAAATTATGGATAGGATTGTTTATATTTTGTTACAAGTTTAATAATTCTTTGATTTGTAATTGGGTATCAAATAATTCAATGAGTTGAAAACTAACGAACGAGAGAACACGAATTCATATCGGGAATTATCATCCTAAAAAATATGACACAAATTTAATATCATTTGATGTGAAAAAAAGATAACACAGGAAAATGTGTTCTACAGATGGCCTACATTTACTGTTGAAACACACACATATGTTTATTTATTAGCTTGTGTTTAGTTTTGAAAAAAAAATTAGTAGCTTGTGTGATTGAAAATAAATTTTTTTTTAAAAAAAATGTGCTTTAAAAATTAGGGCCAAACAAGAGATTAAAAACAGTTTTAAACAAACAGAAAGTCTTGCAGCCATGGCTTGCCTTATTGTAGACAATGCAATTTACACCGAACATTTTTACTGTTACATTAAAACAAAACTTACTTATTACACAAACTATTACCCCGGACTTTCTTAAACTTTCATTTTCCATATATATGTTACACTTTTGGCAACAAACGAGCACAAGATCGAAAACTTATCCTCCACGAGATCGATATAGATAAACAAGTGGCCTCTAAACATGTCGCGGTGGGTTGTATTTAGGTTTTCCCTCCTCTGGGAATAATCGGTGTGAGTCTGATCCAGATGTCCCTTCATAATTATCACTCTTAGCTTCATTATCTGCAGTTTTACTATTATCATTAGCTGCGATTCGTTCTTCTCCACCAAGATGTTCATCGCTGGCTAGGACACGAGGATTCCTCCTACGAAGCATTTTTGCACGAGCCTGGTAATTTCCCGCAATCAACAATGAGGCGAGAAGGAGAATAACCAAAGACTTCATCATCAAATTATAATCTGAAAGAAAAAAAAAAGTTATAGATCTAAAGAATAACTTATAAGCAAAAATAAGTAAGTTCTTTAACTTACAATTTGGTTCCTATTTATTGCATGTAAGAGAAGTGGCTTTACAACTTCACAATATATAGAGATTTTACTTACTGTTTTTCGGCTCATAATTAGTGGGAAATGAGACTGATTAAGCGTAAATGGAATAAGAATGGAGTGGAGCACTCTATGCTACAGAAAAAAGGGAAGTAATTATGATTCAATTTACTTAAATTTTCATGCTTATAATCATATGATTAGTATAATTTACCGTAAAAGTGTTTCCTTGTTGGGAAGCAATGGAAGACACAGCGGATCAATATTGATATCAATATGTGGAACTTTACAGGCTTAGAGCGAACATTACTATCTTAAATTATTGGTTAGCACCGTGAAATTATTGCTGAACATTATTCAAGAGCAACCACACTACAAATCGGTTTGACACAACGCTTACAGATCACACACAACACATGGGGTGAGTGGTTTTACTTTTTCAATACAAAACTCACATGGATTTTTCTGTTTTTCTTCTGTACAAGCATAACTTTTTATTCAAGAAATTCTGGGATCAAAATGTATTATGCGTTTATCACTGCAAAATTCCACCGATGAATTCGCCTTCAAAATAGCTCATGATTGAAAGAAATTAAAATTTAGATTTTATTAAAGTCAAAATCAACAATTAATTTTAACTACATAATTTATGGAACTCATATCTTTTCAACCACATATTTCATCAACTTTCATAAAAAATCTACTAAAAATATAATTTTAATCTCCAAAGAGTGACTTATATTTTAATATATAATATTTTTACAGCAAAATATGTGACAAACTTTTAGCACTGACAGTCCTTCACTTTCTAGAGGCTATTTGTATTTCACACGCGTTAAAGTATAAAATGAGTGGACCAGCCTGAACTCGCGTGTCTATGTTTAGGTTGGTTCATACCAAGGTATAGCTCTCATATTCAGGCGGAGTCAACACCCAACGATTCCTACAATCGCTTGTGCTGGTTCGATCAATTTTTTTCTCATATTTGACGGCCGCCCGAGTTCACTTGGATTCGTCCGTCCTCACCCTAATTCCTAAATCTACCACTGCTCATATTATAGGCTTTTGTTTTTTCGTTTTCTTTTTTTACATCCTTCAAAAATTATACAAATTCTTATATTATTTTCAATATTTGTGTCTAAATTTCATTATCTTTATAGTTTCTAACAATCTTATTTTAGTATTATCCATGTTTGGGTTAATTTCATTTTTGTTCACGAAGTCTGATGAAATCTCAATTGGGTCATTCAATTTTAATTTGTCGTATATAAATCATTGATAATATAATCTATGATAGCCCCATCACTAAAATCTAAAAGTCATATTCCAATCTTAGGTGAACAAATTGACGACAATATGACGGATCTAAGTTTTCAGCTAAATATCTTGCCAGTCAGCTTTTGTAATAAACAATAAAGCTGCACATACAAGGCAGCTCTTCACAGAGGCTTTACAGGCTCCTCATCGTAGCAGCGGGCCCCACCTAAAAAGAAAAAATAGCGACGGGTCCCCTCATGTGTGTTGCCTGGCCCTGTACGTGCAGCAAATTCATTGTAATAAAATTCTTATATGCCCTATCAGTCATGTTTTGGTGTAAAAAAGTATCGCCAGCGACTACTATATTCACAAATTAGTCAATAGATTAAAACGACATCATTGATGATAACAAATCAAAACGGATTTCTACCTTCACAATTTTTACGAACTTAACAGTTAGTCGGAAATGTATCAATATTTCTTTAGTTCCCTATCTATGTCTATAAATTTGTAGGAAAAAAAATATGTCGATTACTAGAATAAGAATTATTTTTTTTTAAATTTTTTTTTAAGTTTTCTTCTCAAGTTAATTTTATTGTTATACGATGAAGATGAGATGTAGATTTGATGAAGAATTCTGAAATGGTGGTGGAGTAATGCCTCCTGAATCTATATGCGACCTTTAGTGTTTCTGCTACTCCGACGAATATGTGCAACATGAAAAGTGAGGGCGGGGCTTTCTCTCCCGTTTTACCTTCGGTGTGAGAATCAGTAGTTATGTTAGGAGAAAATAAATTCGGAGTTCAGATAGCTAAAAAATATGCAATCATCCAAACCTGTATCGCCTTGGGAGGTATTTATAGTCTGTCAGAAGCCGAGTGAGAGCCGAGTGGCTGTGGTGCCACGTGTCCTACGTTGGCCTTCCCATTATCCCCACGTTCTGAGTGGGGGGTTTTAACTACCCCATGGAGGTTGGGTTCGTGGTGACCGCCATGTAACTTTGTTAATTCATCAGAGATTTTGAGGTTAAGTGTTGAGATGATCTTATAGGTAATTCCATACTGGTCGCTGGTCTCGCATAGAGATAGAGCGCCCCCGGGGGTCGACGGTCTCTCGTAGAGGTAGAGCACCCCGGGCGGTCGACGATCTCTCGTGGAGGTAGAGCGCTCTCGAGGTCGACGGTCTCTCGTGAAGGTAGAGCTCTCCTGAGGGATAGAGGGTCTCTCGTGGAGGTAGAGCGCTCCCAGGGAGTCGACGGTCTCTCGTAGAGGTAGACGCATCCTGAGGGGTTGATGACTTCGCATTGGCGTGTCATGATTTACATTGCATATCTTTGGAAGCAATTTCTTATGTTAACTGATATCATTACCCTCCCTACTCCCTGTCGATATTTTTTCGACAGAGGAGTAGCAACTTCCTTTATATGGATTTTATTTTATTTTATTTTTTTTAAATAAAATTAACTCAAGTAAACAAGTCGAGCAATCCAATTTGGTTCGAGCAACTATTCCACTGTACACTTGGCACCCAACCAATGGACATGATCTTGGAGGGAATTTTCCCCCCAAAAAATTTGAATCCCTTTTACTTATAAAAGGGAGTGGTCCCTCACATGTGAGCTACTTTCTTCTCATCCAAACATTTTAGTTCTTCTTCTCTTCCAAGGTTCTCTCTTTTCCAAGGTAATTTTCTCATCTTTTCTCTTCATTTTTGTAAAATCATGTACAAAACTATCATCTCTTCTTCTTCTTCCGATGAAAATAGTGATGAGGGACCGATCGACGTCGAAAAAGATACGACCGGTTTGGTGAGGCCGGTCGACTGACCAGCATCTGCTCGATCGACCAGTTGGTCAGTTGACTAGCCGACAACGGATGGTCGATCGACCAGCTTGTGCCGGCGGGTCGACTAGCCCCCAACCGCCTGTCCACGCTATTGGTTGGCTCAG